TGTTGACCAGCATTAAGGCATTTTTTAGATAGGAGAGCAGGCGCAAGCAGATGTGTAAATTCATAAAATCAGAGTTTGTGCAAGTTCTCATCTCCTCGATGAAGCTTTGGCAGATTTGTTACTGCCCAGCTCATGAAGTTATAATAAACACAGACCACCAAAAGACAGACACACACACACACACACACTCACCCAACATGACCACCCTGTCTGCCTTTTATTAGTACATTTTAAATCCCTGCTTTTCCAAAAGCCATCATCCACTTTGTTAAAAGATTACTTTCATTGTGTCAGTTGGATATTTGCTTTATACAGTCTACTAAGACTAGGCTTAAAAAATAAGTACGGGAAAAAATTAGAGTTAACTGAAACTATTTCAAACAATGTATTACAGAACTAAGTAAAATAAAATAAAAATGTAGAGCTAAATCTCTTTAATTTGACTCCGTCATTGTGGTCAAATCTTTCATCACGGCCAGTCTGATGAGGTGGTTTGGTGGTTATGTTTATTGAGACTGGGATGTCTACATGACTGTGAGTCAAGTGTTTGTATTGCAACTCCTGTTCTCAACTTCTCCCTGGGAAAAAATGGGGGAAAAAAAGAAGTAAAAATATACCCATAGTAGTAATAATGATTATTATTATTATTATTATTTAAAAAAAAATTAAGATATCTTTAGTGTAAAATCTAAACAAGCAAACTCTGGAAACAAAGACTGAACTGAGTAAAAAGTGAAAATTACAACTATTATATAAGAATCCCCCCCTTGCCATTTTCTTCATTTAAGATCTTTTCATAAGGAGCTCTTGTACAGCTGTCAAGCAGCTGTATAAAGTACTGTCAACATCTGGACTGAAACCTCAAATACTTGAAACAACCACTCAAACAAGATTATTTTAAACGGAAAAGAAAAAGTGAGCTTTCAATTAGGACCGAACCTAACAATTATTTTATCATTGATTCCTGGAACAATAAGGATTAGGGCCGCCCTCCAAAAACATTGTACCAACTAATCAGTTGATGACAAGAGTCTTGTTTTTGTTCGGTTGTGCACAGTCAAGTCCACCACAGGAAGCGGCTACAGAAAGACATCAACCGTTCATCGATGCAGTTACAGGCGGGATGTCGAGGCTTCTTTAGAGGAGGTAAAAGACACTCAAGAATGTCCAAACTCTGCAGGCATCATTTGTCAACATTAAACACGGTTTATCTAACATTAGACAGTCAGCATCTTGCTTCTCTAACATCAGACACAAATTTCCTCATGAAGCACAGAGCGAGCGCTCTGTTTTTTTAAAGGCTTGCTACTATCTTACTTTTATGTGCTATGCAATGTTGCCCTGCATTAACAACGTTACTTAAAAGATTTTCAGCCCTGAAACGATTTTGACATAATCAAAAACAACATAGATTGAAACGAATAAATTAATGTCAAACTGCAAGACCTTTACTATTATAGTCTGTTTAAAAGGTTTAAACTTAAAACATTTGTATTTGATTTGGATCTTTGTGTTTGATTTGACACAGACTTTGCCAAAATCAACTAGCTTTGCAATCCCCCTACGATTGGTTTTAAATGCATTTATAAATACATGTTTTTAAGCACGTGTGGCTCAATTATGTTTATATGTAGGCACCATCAAAGGCCAATTTTAAGCCAGGAAAAATCCTGTAGGAGGTACAAAGACTAAGCAACTCATTATTTGAACTAACAGCTGGCAGAAAAACCTTTGGGCAGTGCTAGTTTACGCTATAAAATCTCAAAAAGCTGCAAAACAACAACATAAATACTGAGGTGTTGTCTTGCTCTATCCTAACACACAAACAAGCTGCGTTAAAACAATACTGAGCTGTGATTTAAACGATTAACTACCTATGAATTGTTTCTGTTACCTGTCAAACTATTTCAACTTTACATGCAGGGTGGAAGCCTTTAGTACCTGACAGTTTGACGCATGAGGCCAAAACACTTTTGAACCCCAATAGTAAAATGCATCCACAGTGGGCTGCTGCATACATTCAACACCACACTCGCAATGTCAGCAACAGCGTTATGGGCCAGCTGCACTCTAAACATGTGAGTGACATGAACATAAGTGAAATCCATGCTTTTCTACACCTTCTGCTCCTCCACATGACAGTTACAGGTCAGCTATATAACAGACTATCTGGCAGAGATTCACCATCTTGCTCAAGAACGCTTCACAGGGACAAATGAATCAAAGAGTCTGCTCCGCACGCCAGCAGCTAAACCTCCAGCCAATTCTCGATTACCGACACTAACCGTGGGATAATAAACAATGACATCACGGCCTGCGCTCCAGGTTGAGAGGATCCATCTTGAAAAAAAATACGCTGATTAACCCCAGGAGACAGCCGCAGACTCCAGGTTAATACCCGCTCCTCCATCTCAGAGTTGTACTTGTGTGTTGACATTCCCCACACACTCAGAGCAGCAGGGAAAAGGCAGAGCAGGGGAAAAAAATGGAGTGATAAAAAACAAACACAACCACAATTTTTTCTTGTCTGTTTTCTGAGCCAAATTGTTTCAGTGGATTGATATAAACACTGACTCACATGAGCCGATGATTACACTGTTTATGGAACACACATGCTCGTGCTCGTTTCCCTCATTAATCCCATTAGGAGCTTCGGGGAGAAGAGCATATTCATTCGCATACTTCTGACACACACGCACACACACGCACCCTCAAGTGGTGGCATTTTCGCAAGATGGTAGTGTTTTTCCTGAGGAAATGTCAGACAGGGAATGGAAGTTGTTTATCAGAGGTCCCCTTGCTTGGGTTACATCCCTGGCTATAAACACAGCGCTGAATAAACCAGCAGTGTGTGTCACTCTGAAATATTCCACTGCTGCCTTGTTCTCCTCCAAGTAAGGTAACAATTATTTCCCAGAAACGGAGAGAAAAGATTTAGATCCCAGGGAAAAAAAAAAAAGGAAGAGAGAGACAAACTTCAGAGACTGATCAGAGATATGAACCACACACACACTTACCCAAATCTACAAAACAACCTGGAGGCATGCAATGTGCATCCAGAACTCACCGTGTCCCTGAAGCCATCATATTTGTAGACGTGTCCCGTGCTGGTGCCAAGTTTGATGCCATGGCCTAAGCACACCCGCCTCCACTGGGCCAAATTGAGCTCGCTGGCAGGGATGCTATCCACCTTCCCCGTCTTGCTGCTCTTATAAACCACATTCTGCTTGCTGAAACGCAGCCGTCCGTCATTCTGCAGCGAGATATTGAAAAATGAAAAACTCAAATATTTTATACATAAACTAAAAAACACTGGTTACAGCTTTCCAAATGGGAGCTTGCTCACATCATAACATTTATTTTTTTAAGTTTGATGATTAGTTTAGATTTAGATTAATTTACAAAACAAAAATCCAGATCTTCTTATTGTTTCCGTACTAGTGGGCATGGATACCCTCTTTATAATAGTGATTTTACAAGAAAAAGAAAAAAAAGAGTAAATGTTTTTTCAGCAAAACAAAAATTCCACAGCTGAGCCGATGACAGTTTCATTTTTTTTTTTTCACACTCATGGCTAAGAGTCAATGCTAACAGCATTTAAAGGCATCTTATTTTTACTAGGTTGTGTAATGATACAATAATACAGTGCCATAGAAAAGAATTTTCCCTGTTTCTGACTTCTTAGTATTTTGTCACATGTTTCAGATCACCAAATTATAACATAAGATAAAAAAAAACATAACCCAAGGAAAGACAAAATGCAATTTTTAAAATGATGATTTTAATTATTAAGAAAAACAAACAAAAAACTAAAATATCCAAACATATCTGGCACATCGTAAATCATGAATTAACTGCGATTAACCACATTTTTTTGGAGAGCAGAGTTCAATGCCACACCAAGGCCTGATTACTGCCAGACCTGTTTACTTAAGAAATCACTTAAATAAAACCTGTCTGACAAATCGTAGTTGGCTAAAAGATCCAAAAAGCAACACATCATGCTACAGTGAACAGATGAGAAACGAAGTAACTGACATCTATAAGTCTGAAAAGGCTTATGAAGTCATTTTAAGGCTTTGGGACTCCAGTGAATTACAGTGAGAGCCATTATCTACAAATGGAGAAAATCTGGAACAGTGTTGAACCTTCCCAGGTGTGGTTGGACTATAAAAATTACTCCAAAAGTGCATCAATGACCCATCTAGTAGGTCACAAAAGAACACCCAGAGCATCATCTAAAGAATTGCAGGCCTCACTTGGCTCAGTTAAGGTCAGAATTCATGACTGAACAATAAAAAAAGAAAAGAAAAAAAAAAGAGAGACAAAAATGGCATCCTTGGGAGCGTTACAGGGTGAAAACCACTGTTGACCAAAAAGAAAACGAAAGCTCGTCTCACGTTCGCCAAAAACATCTTGATGATCCCCCAAGACTTTTAGGAAAATATTCGGTGGATTGACCACACAAAGGCTACCCTTTTTCACTTTTTACCAGAGACTCCTTAAGGAGAATGCCCATCTAAAACAGCACATTTGTGACTGAAAACCTTCCAGTGTGGCAGATAAAACAATACTGCACAATTATTGCTCCCAAGCAGGGCACAACCAGTTATTAGGTTTAGGAGGTAATTGAACCAGGGCCAGGCAGGTTTGGGTGGCTTTGTTTCCCTTAATAAATGAAATCCTCGTTTTAAAAACTGCATTTTTTTTTAAATTTACTCAGGTTATCTTTCTCTAATATTGACATCTGTTTGAAGATTTGAAAAATCTGAGTGACACAAATAGGCAAAAAACAAAACAAAAAAAGAAATCAGAACTGCAAATAAGAGCACAGGAGCTGATGTTTGTCTGCGATGCCACTTCAAAAGAGACAGTAATGAAGCCCTGAAAGAATTTGAGAGCAGAGCTGCTGGGTGAAGATACTTACCCAGGAGCCTTTAACCTCCTGGTAGATCTCGTTGAACTCCAGTGTGTCTCCCATTTTGGCTACAGGCGATGACTGATGCTCTACAGACAGACAGAGACGGAAGAAACGGCACTAAATACAACCAAACATCTACAACGAGGCTTATGTCACGCCTGGCTTTAAAACCATTCCCACATTGTGGCAAGCTGGGGTCTGCATTTTGTTGTTGCTCCTCACGGTGGGAAAGTAGTGTGGTGTTGATGAAAACATGAGCAAGCACGCAGCGACTGAGCCAAAACACCCGAGAGGCAGAAAGCAGCCATCCTGTGAGTGTGCAAACTGTAAAAGCAGCTTCGTGTTGAATTTGGGTCTTTTCGTGTTATTTAATATTTCCGTTTATTAGTGTTTAAAGAACTGAGTGAAGTTCTGAGCCAGCTAACAGCTAACTATGAACAATTAAAAGAAAGCTCTGCCCGGCGAAAGTTTACGAATATCGTTATCTTATGGCGTGAATGTGTCAGCGACAGTTGGGTCTTTGTGTTTCTCGAAGCAACCCTTAACTATCATCCATGCTGCGCCACTAACAATAGCTAGGCTAACTTCAACTGCACAGGGTACGCTTCTTTTATACAACGATGTGGGACAGTTTCCAACTGAATCCTCAAATTGAATACGGCACGCGCTAGAACGCCGCCCGCTCGGGCTGGTCCTAAGTTAAAATCCAGCGCTCCATCAGCACTAGGCCGGTAAAAAGAAATCATGTAAATATTTGGGGTTATTGTAACAAACGACGCCGCTCAAAGTAATTAATTGTGCGCCACGCACTCCCTCGTTGCTTATAAATATCAAAAAATTAATTTCTATAGAAGCGAGAATGCAGAGTTTAAAAAAAACTTCAGGTCTTACTGTGACAGTGCTCAGCAGCTTCGCCTGTTTTCCCGCGTGTAGCATCGGGAGCTAGTCACAGGAAACACTCATACGGTGGCTCGTATTTGCTTCCGGTTTTGAGACGTTACCCCCCTCTTCCTTTGAATCACTGAGGTGTTTGGTGGGTAGTAAATTACAAGGATTTGAAGTGGTTTGAAAGCTGAGGTCTGTGTGAAACTTGGACAATAAAACAAAAAAACCCAAAAACATTTTGTTACGGAGTCTGCGCAGGACAGAATGCGTTGCAGTAACCGCTCATCACCACTGGGTGGCACAGAGCACAGCTAATGAAGCTAGTATGGCAGCCTTTACTTAGTGCCAAAAGGTTTAATAACATAGTATTAAACACAAACTATAACAATACTGATGGGTTTATTTTTTAATAAATTACAAAAAAGAGTCAAATAGGAATATTGCATCATTCTAAATAGTTATTTAGACTCTTATGATACGACATATGGACAGAGATAGGAAGGCCCCGGATCAAATAGGCTAGTACGCATGGCCCAACAAACCTTATTGAAAACCTTAAGGCAAAAGGCACAGTTTGGCCTTTATTTCGTTTTAAATCAATTTAAGAAAATGCAACATAAGGCAACCAAACAGAAATCGGCCAAATAAATGAACCCTCTTCCCCTTCAAAACAGGGCCTCAGCAGGCCTGAATTAAATCGGGGCGCATTTAAGGCCCTTATCGTTTGAGGTGAGTTTAAAAGTGCATTTTCACATTCTCACACACACACACACACACTCTCTCTCTCTCTCTCCCTACATCAGCACACGAGGCTGAAACAAACCGACGACGCTTTTGGCAAAGTCCTTGAGGACCCCCTCCTCCGTCTCCTTCACCTTAATCCAGCCTTGAGGATACACTGTCAGTCCGTATAACTAGACTACTTTATTCAACCACATGAACCGGTGGGCCTGACGGATTTTGGAATATCTCAGCGATTACGAAAGAATTTTACTTGGATCCGGGACAAATAAGAGTATCAGCAGCGGTGCTTCGGGGCGCGATACGGTGCTGCATGCCACGGGCTGATGTTCTGGCTGGCACGCTGAGTGACAGCTGGAGGTGAGAGAAGAAGATCCAGAATAATCTCACTGTCAATAAAAAACTAAGAGCTGAGGAATGGAGGGAGAAGAAAAGAAGCGCGGGACAAGCAAGCAAACACTTGCCTTCATTCTCCCGCAAAGAAACAGAAAGGAAAAAAAACAAAACAGGCGTAATGTTTTTAGACGCAAAATATTTCCTTTATTATTTGCGCCCCAGTTTAATTAAAATACAGCCTTGAATTTTTTTGTTATGTTATTTCACTTTATTTGAGATTTTTGTGCAATATTATTAGGCCTACTTTAAACGAATAGATTTAATGTACATTTTTAAACTAATTTGGTCTCTGCGTAAAGAGGACAAAAGAGAAAAAAAAACCATTTCGACTGTTTGGTAATTTATTTTTTACTCCAAGTGGAAGCGTAAATGCTTAGTTAAATGAATAATGATAATTATTATTGTAATAAAAGGGAAAAAGAGAGAGAACATCTAATTCGTTCCGTATTTCCCGGACGATTTGAAGGTCACGCTGGCCTCAGCTGAACGGATCAAATCGGACTCGCACCTTGTTAAAAGGAAGCAGATTTAAGATCAAACGGCCGCGCTTACATCGGGTTCCCGAGGATGACGAGAGGAGAGAGAGGAAGAAATGAGTTGTGACAAGTCTCGTGGTTCAGCGGCTCTGTCAAGTTGAGCCGTGATGCGTCAACCCGGTGAATCACCACCATTTACTGAAGAGGAGGAGGCGGATAACGAAAGAAGAAGAAGGAGAAGAAGAGACAGTGATGTGAAGGAGGGGAGGAAATAAGTGGAAAGGGTAGAAAAAGAGGAGGAGGAGGAGGTACAAAAAGGCTCCGCCGTCATTCAGTCTGTCGCACAGACCACACGCACCATAGTCAGCGGATCGTTAATATTTCAACTGAATGTAACAAATATTTCACTTTAAATGACTGGATCGGCATCACCTGTGTTTCACTTTATCTTCTCCTGAGCAGATTTTATTGAGCCGATTAGACGAAAAATAAGAAAAAGGTTTGCGGTTCTGTTTAATCTCCAAGAGGAGAGAGGAGATCATTATCGGGTTCTTTCTGCGCTTAGTGGATGAACTTCTGAGAGCGCACCGACGTGGATAAAAGGATTTGAGGAAAATGAGGAGATTCTGCGGAGGTAAGACCATGAATCTAAAACCTTTTATGGAGGGATGATGGGAAAAAGAAAAACTTTGTTGCCAGACAGAGTAAAATTACAGTGGAATTAAGTGGAATTTCCTTTTTTTAAAACATTTCTTTCTTTTACACTTAAACGTTTGCTTTATTATTTAATAATTTGTTTTGCCTTGCATCTTCAATCATGATTAAAAGTTGTGGCAAAAGCGCCAAGTTTGGATATTTTAGTGCGTAATCCCCGCAAATATGATCCTTTCCTGTGTAGCCTAAGGGTTTAACATGCGCACGTTTCTTCCACTTAAAACCAAACATCAAATTATCCCAAATATCAAAACAGATTTTTTTTTTATAATACTGGAAAGAAATCACATAATTTTATTTTTTAATATTTATTTTTCTTGTTGTTATTTTAAATATAAAATGAATTTAAAGGTTGTTGTGAGTCATCTCTTCACATTTGGAAATTACTGGTGAAGGAGCACACGTGGGTTTAGTGGTCCATCATCCAATTCTCTGAGGGTTATCAGAAAAAAACAAACAAACACAGTAAAAAAAAAAAAAAAGGATGGAAATATGAATGGAGCGAAAATATAGGAAATGTAATTATAGGGTAATTTGGTGTTAAATATCCATGTGAGAGGGATGGCAGGAAGAGAGAAGGAAAAAATGAGCGAGAAAGGCTGAAAAATGTCTGTGAGAGCGAAAGATGGATGGGGAGGGGTCTTATTCACAGTAAAAGGGAAAAAAAATGACTGGGGTTGAGGGGGTCAGATGCAGCTAAAGCTCCTGTCTAGTTAACTGTCACTGATATGACAAAGTACATGATTCACGTTAGTCACACACACACACACACACACACACACACACACACACACACACACACACACACACACACACACACACACACACACACAC